AGAGAGAGAGAGAGAGAGAGAGAGAGAGAGAGAGAGAGAGAGAGAAAGAGAGCTGAGGATATGGGATATGACAGGACGCCTACTCCCGTGTTGTTTCCTGCGTTTCAATACGGACCTGGCACGTCACCACTTCCCTTGCGCTGGGGTGACACGTGTTTATAGACCTAATAATGGAAACGCGTTTCGTTTAGATATTCGTCCAGGTTTCGCGCAAGCGCCGATTGTGACCGGAAATCGCCCCTCGTGGATATTTTTTATCAGCTCTTGCCTTTTCTCTTCATACCATAAATACGAGTGATGAAAATCTGTTGGAATTTCATCACCGATCATCGGTTGCAGCCAACCGACCGTGATCGAAGATAATCGGTTGAATGTATTGATCGCGGCTACCAGATATTAAAATACGTGTATATGATATCATATATCATTAATACAGTATTTTTTTTATAATACAACAGTATTATGCATGCTTATGTTTGGTGTAGGTTAGATTTACTGTCTCTAAGCTGTAAAGTAACCAAAATAAACACACACAAATAAAATAATGAGTTTTTTCATCAATGTTTTCAGATTTGATGAGTTTTTTAAAACGTTTTTTTGGATAATCGATTATTTATTTTCAAAATCGAGCGCTTAGTCGGTTGCTACAAACGACTGACTTTCGATCATAGTGATTCATCAGGACATCACTAATAAATCTGCTGCTATTCTCCACTTCATCCCCTCCCCTCGTATACCCCTTCCCATTCCCACTCCTCTACCCCCCTTCCCATTCCCACTCCTCTACCCCGGTTCCCATTCCCACTCCTCTACGCCCTTCCCATCGCCACTCGTCTAGCCCTTCCCATTCCCACTCCCCTACCCCCCTTCCCATTCCCACTCCTCTACCCCCTTCCCATTCCCACTCCTCTACCCGCTTCCCATTCCCACTCCTCTACCCCCTTCACATTCCCACTCCTCTACCCCCTTCCCATTTCCACTCATCTACCCCCCTTCACATTCCCACTCCTCTACCTCCCTTCCCATTCCCACTCCTCTACCCCCTTCCCATTCCCACTCCTCTACCCCCTTCCCATTCCTACTCCCCTATCACTCCCCTGGTGTCCCATTTCCCAGCTCCTCTACCCGCTCTTCCCATTTCACCACTCCCCTTACCCCTCGATCTTGATTTTTCCTCATGTGGTGCCAGCTAGACTTCTGATCTCCCCTTTCCTTCCCACTGCTCTACCCCACCCGCACTTCCCTGTAAACATCCATACATACTAACTACTCACACTCCTCTCCCGAGTCCCACTCCTCTTACCCCACTTCCCATTCCCACTTCCTCTACCCCCCTTCCCGAGCTCATCATCTTCTGCTACACCCTGTCCCAGTTCCCACTCCTTCTATCCCGGCTCCCATTCAGCTCCTCGCCCCTCTCCCTGCTCCCAATTCCCACTCTCCTCTACCCCCCTTACCCTATCATCCCACTCTCTTACAGCTGCTTCCGTTCCACTCCTCGTATCCCCCCCCTTCCACATTCCACTCCTCTATACCCACCCATGACTATCCCCCCCCGAACAATCCCTTAACATTCGCTCCACTTTCCACTCTCGTTACTCTCCCCTCGTCCTCTTCTTCCCCCAGCTTTTCCCACTCCTGGTAAAAATACATTACCCGCGCTTTCCATTCCCACTTCCTCTACCCCCCCCCCTTCCCATTCCCACTCCTCTACCCTCCCTGCCGCTTCCGTCGATATGCGCGTACTCTCTACCGCTTCCTATTTAAATATCACCTCAAACAATCCCCTAGCCTTCCGCTCGCGGCTTCCGATTCCGACTCCCCTTAGAACCCTCTCATCCACATTCACTGACCTCTACCCCTACCACTTTCCCACTCCTCTACCCCCCCCCCTCCCATTCCCACTCCTCTACCCGCTTCCCATTCCCACTCCCCTACCCCTCCTTCCCATTCCCACTCCCCTACCCCTCCTTCCCATTCCCACTGCTCTACCCCCCCTTACCATTCCCACTGCTCTTTACCCCCTTCTCATTCCCACTCCTCTACGCCCTTCCCATTCACACTCATCTACCACTTCATATTCCCCTTTCGTCTACCATTTCCCATTCGCATACTTGCAAGATGACAAATTAGTTCTCTCTCAATTAGATCAGGATTAGTTATCTCAATTAGATCAGATCATCTAGCTGTAGGTCAACCAAACGTTAGTGGCAGCTCCGACCAAATTACGGGACATGTTACAAGACAACCAATTGCAAGCCATGGGTCTGCTCTCTGCAATGCTATCAAATTCCAACAAATCTTGTTTTTGCAGTATATTTTCAAACTTGTGACTGTATCAGGCAAGTGAAACTAATAAGGTTTCCTCATCAGTTATATAACATGAATAAAATTAGTAGAATTTTGCTTGGATGTCACTCATCTTTTATATATTTTCGCTGATAAATGCATGTGCACATACAATTCATCTTCATCTTATGTACGTGCGTGCATAGGTGCATGTATACAAATATACCAGTCGACCTCGCCCAAGTCGAATCCAACAGGACTGGAGGAAAAGCTTTCGACTTACGTGGATTTCGACTTTGAATTTTTTTCGTTGAATGTATTGTGTTGATATTGATGTTTTCAATTACACTTTACGCTAGTGTTGCCTTTATCGCAATGTATGTTCATGTGTTTGGTTTGATGATGCAAGTAATGAGCGTTACCACTTGCATGGAATAATAGAATAATCATTATCTTGCCCATACATTTATACATGTCATTCTACCCCATTCTCCGTCGTCATCACTCATGATCATTGATTCCCGTCACTTCCACCACCACCACCGTGATCTTGAATATCCCAATGATCGTTACGATTACCAACAGGCAACATTATCATATCTGTCGATAGCACATCCTGTGTCAGAATTACACAGCAGCCCGCGACACCCGTATCTGTGGCTGCGCACGTGCCTGCTGGGGCGGTATTAATTGCAGGAAGGGGGCGGGGCGAGTGCACAGATTGTTTCAGTCGCGTGGGGAATGTTCATTACTGTACATGTTCGTAAAAACAGAGACTCCGACTTCGACTTGTGCGATGGAATTAACGCAGGTTTGAAACCACTGGGACTAGAATTCTTCTTTGATATAGCCAAAATTCGACTTGTGAATTTCGGCTTTGTCGAAGATTTATTAAAGTAAAAACATAAGGAAAGATTGGGACTTTTGTGGAGCTTCGACTTGGCCGATTTTTCGACTTAGGCGAGGTCGACTGTACTAAAGTTTCTAGTGTTTGCAAGCAAAGCAAGCCAAGGTACAATCAGTAACAAAATATATAGAACTACTGATACTAACACACTAACATTTATTATATACCAAGTGTAATACTTGCGCACAGCATTCACACTCATATTCTTCACAGACAGAAAGCGATGATAGCGTTTGCATGTTCAAAATAAGGTCACCTAAATGGAATTTTACAATAAACTCGTCAATATTGAACGGCAAAGAATTATTCTCCCTCTCCTTGATTATTTGCTATGATGCTGCAGTCGAAGGGCGTACCCTTTGGCTGGCCTACGGCTCATCTTTGTCACTGACCTCCCCTTCCTCTTTAACACTGTCATCAACACAATTATGTTGTTCTTTGTGTGGACCTACACTTGCAGGAAGGTTCTGGACATCTTGGTCAACATTGCCTTCAGAGTTCGTCTCCAACTTTACCCTTTTACTGGATGGGTTGGTTGCCTCGCCCTCCCTCTCCTTCACATGCGTAGACGGTCCCCCTCCCGCCACATCAGGATACTCGTGCGCACACTGCGGTAGCACAACATACAACTTTGGGAACTCGACGACCGTCTTGCCTCGCAGGTTCTCGGCCAGGCTGTGTGAGACGGCTAGTCGGTGGTAACGCTGCCGCTGCGCACCCTCCGCCGCCATCAACACGACGACATCGGCGGGCCGACGATCCCCATACGCGGCGCGCAGACGCCCGCTCAGCTCCATGTCGGCTGCTGTGCCGAGATACTTACCGAGAACATCGCTGAGGTGGGTGCTCTCGTGGAGTTTGCGCTCAGTGAACCCCGCCGCTGCCCCGGCCGCGGGGAAGACGAGCTCCAGCTGCCAGAAGAAGGCGTCGGCGCGTGCGTGGTAGAACGTCGCGTTGCCGCGGCGACGGCTGAACGACGACGGCATCAATCGCAGGTCGATGCCGCGTATGCGCGCCTTCTGCGTCATCTTGTGCATGAAGAGCGTGTAGTCACGCCGACGCGCTTGCTCGCTCCGCACTCCGTTGTCGACCGTGCGGTCGACCTCTTCCAGAAAGCGGTAGTCGCTAAGCAACGTGAGGTCCCCCATGTCGCTGGTGGGCACGTACTTTGTGCGGTCCCTCCGGCCGGTGCAGCCACTCAGCTCCTTGTGTGCATTGACGCACGGCAGGGAACACGTGCGCGTCTCGCACGCGGGGCAGCAGTACTTCGTTGTACTGCTCTCGCACACCTCACACTGATTCTTTGCGACCATGGCGACACGCAAACGGATGCAGACAACAACTAGATCGATACGGCAACGAAAATGCGAGTAAAATGACTTGGGTTGTTTTAACAACTTAAATGAACCACCTAAAAGAAATGGAACCAAACAAATCTGTGTGCCATTGTGTGCCAGTGTTGAAGTGGGCTGTATTAGTTGCTTCAGCTTTTACCATGCCTTAACGAGCTATCTTAGTCGTTTCTGTGTGCTGATGTAGAGCACGTTGTTTCCTCGGATGAACGCATCCCCGTACTTGTTCTTTAGCTGCCCGTTAACATACTCCTCTGTCTGCTCGAGGGCAATGTTCATGTATCCGTCTAGGCAGGCTAGTACTCCACGATAGTCGACGCCGGAGTTCAACTTCACGACGACGGGACGCCCAATGATCTGCTTTAGGAATTCGCTCGGCGTCTGTCGACTGCTCATTCTCAATGATGAATGCAGTACCTGAAAAATTTGAATTGCACTGATCACACTAGATGGACATGTGCAGCGACGGAGAGTGGATGGTGTTTGATTTCTCGCTCTTTCCAATATTTCCTTAATTTGTAGCGTACAAGTTACCACCGTTTGAAAGTGGGTAAGCAAAGAGTTATGCTATCGACGTGGATATTCGTCCGAGCATCGGACACCTGTTTGTATGCACTATTCGTCCGAGCAT